CTCTTTGTTGGAATAATTCAGATAAGTATCCCATTTTCATTGTAGGAAGAACAAAGCATGCATTTATTTCCTTATTCCCTCTGTAAATTTGGATTTTTTTCTTAAAATCCATGGAAAGTATTCCTTCAGAACATACGCACCATACTTCTCTCCACTCCCTCCCCACCAAACAAGAAAGAAAAAATCTCCGACTAGTGAGAAACATAATACATGCGTGTAGCGCATAGATAATCAATATCGAGGAAAATCTTCCTTTGCCATGAGGCAACAAGCAATGGCATTGTAAGTGCATGAATTTCTTGGTGGCAATTTTAGTGTTCATTTCCTGGTAGATGTGATGATTTAATGTGAAATTTCGATATCTTATAACACTCACTCTGAGCTTGAAATGGATAAATCTTGTTGGTACTTAGATAACTTTCTATATTTTGTAACAGGTGTGGTCACTGCAAGAAACTTGCTCCCGAGGTAATAGAAATTTTTTAATTTCAAGTGTTTGATTTGAAACAATCTGAAGATAGTAATTAAAGTTAATATGTATTGTTTCTTAGCTAACAACATTTTTAATGTCTTGTAGTATGAGAAAGCTGCATCTACATTGAGTGGTCATGATCCTCCTGTTATTCTGGCAAAGGTAGATGCCAATGAAGAGAAAAACAAAGTTCTTGCAAGTGAATATGAGGTTCAAGGTTTCCCCACCCTTAAGATCTTCAGAAATGGAGGAAGAATATTCAAGATTACAAGGTCCTCGTGATGCGGATGGTATTGTTTCTTACTTGAAAAAACAAAGTGGTCCTGCATCCGTTGAGTTAAAATCTGCTGAAGATGCTAATGGCCTTGTTGATGACAAAAAGATTGTTGTTGTAATTATTATACTTTTTTTTTTTTGGTTTTCATCCATATTTTTGTGCAATTATAGTAATGACCTCTTTTTGCTTTCTTATAGGTGGGAATATTCCCAGCATTATCCGGTGAGAATTTGAGAATTTTACCGCTCTTGCTGAGAATTGCGTTCCGACTATGAGTTTGGTCATACATTGGATGCAAAACTTCTGCCACGAGGGGATTCGTCTGTGTCTGGGCCTATTGTTAGGCTGTTCAAGCCATTTGATGAGCTCTTTGTAGACTTTCAGGTATTGGTAGTTTTCATGAGTCTGGCTAGATATCATCTATCTGTTCCTAATAATGAGTTCTCTCTCTCTCTCCCCCCCTCTCTTCCTTTGACCTCTCGTTTTGGTTGGAGATAACTCGTAACTAATATATGCAGTTATCTAATCTAAGACTGGACATGTATGCAGGATTTTGATGTTGATGCTTTAGAGAAGTTTGTTGAAGAAGGAAGTATCCAATTGTTACTCTCTTTAACAATGACCCTAGCAACCATCCTTTCGTTGTCAAATTCTTTGACAGTCCTAATGCAAAGGTGAATAAACGTTTGGCAATCTTTGCCTTAGTTTATTAGTTGTATTGTGTACATAATCAATAGTTGAAAATTATTGTTTTGCCCATTATTAAATTTTTAAAGATTTCCTATGCTTCTAGCATCTAAGTTAGTTGTTGTAGAGATCATTTATGGAACAATTATTTTTATATTTCCTGTATTTCCTCATCTAAAATAAGATAAGGAAACCCATTGATTGCTATGAAGCACTTCTTTTAAACTCACGTATATTGGAAAGGTATTACACTTTATGGACTATGTATTTGCGTTTATCTTTGTATTATATAGGCTAATGAGATAGTTTGGAATTTGTAGGCCATGTTGTTTTTAAACTTCAGCAGTGAGCTTGGTGATGCTTTCAATCAAAGTATCATGAAGTTGCTGAGCAGGACAAAGGAAAGGGCTTAAGTTTTCTGATGGGTGATGTTGAGGCTAGTCAAGGTGCTTTCCAGGTTTGTATGAGTGGCTCGTTTGTAGGAGTCACTGGATATATCTGTTGCTCTTTCATTGGCATCACTTAATATGTTTAATTAGCATATTTCCATTTCATTGGCTTGAATGAACAGTATTTTGGACTTAAAGACGACCAGGTGCTCTCATCATCATCCAGACCAATGACGGACAGAAGTATCTCAAACCAAATCTAGAGCCCGACCATATTGCATCTTGGGTGAAAGAGTACAAGGTATTTTTTGTGTTTTTAATATTTATTTGCTATGCAGTCATCAACTTTCTCTTTCTAATGCTAGTGTATTCTTTTTATTCTGGTGTATCATTTTCTAGTGCAGTTTCTCACAGAAGCTAACTATTATGGTACATAATTGCAGGATGGCAAAGTTCCACACCATACAAGAAGTCTGAGCCTGTACCTGAGAACAACACAGAACCTGTTAAGGTGGTTGTTGCTGACAGCCTTCAGGACATGGTTTTCAGTTCTGGGAAAAATGGTATGTATTAGCTCTAGCTAGTTCACCTATTATAAAATTGTTTTGTTAAGTACAAGTACTAACTCGGATTTCATTTTAGCTTTTTCCTTCCGATTTTTCTGTAATGCATTTTTTGAATTGTATCTCATAACTACCATTTCGGAATTAAATTCTTAATGTGATGATTATTTTAATGATCTATACTACTTATACATGGCAGCATCTGTGAAAAACAACAAAAAATTTATTGACTATCTTGTGCTGATTGTAAAGGGTGCAGAAATGTGTAAGCATAAAGTGCACACACTTTTTGGACTTTACTACCCATGTTGGACCTGACGCTCCTAGAATTGTGTCAAACATGGCCATATATGCGTGAAGTTTTTACAACTGAAATCCGCTTAGATGCACGATGCACAACAAGCGAAACATCCATTTCACAACTTTTGATAGATAGTGAAAAGTGAAATCATAAGAAGATGGATACATAACACTTAGCAGTATTTAGTTGTCGATATAGTTGAGATTTGTCTTCCAAGTACTGCAATAGCCAGTGAGGATACTTAACTGAAAACAATGTGTACCGTATGTTAACACACACTCATGAAGAAATATGTTTATATTGCTATGTCCTCACCAATCTCCTACACATGTAGGGTTTTTTCTCTCTTTTGTTTCCATGTCCTATATTCGTTCCTGTGGCACTAAGATCTTTAACCTGCATTACAGTTTTTGCTTCTCTCTTCCTCTAGTATGACGTGATGAACTGGCCATAGATATTGGTGTTTGCTTTTTTGTTGGTGAATTGGTTTGAATTCAGCAACCTTGTAAAAATTGATTCTTGTATGCTTATGCTCTGTGTCTTTAGTCATACTTGCAATGGTTTTATTCCTCCTGGCTACAGTGTAATACTCCTTGAATCGCATATTATGTCAGGGCCTGTTTCATTTTGCAGTGCTATTAGAGTTTTATGCTCCCTGGTGTGGACACTGCAAGAAGTTGGCTCCAATTTTGGATGAAGTTGCTGTTTCTTTCGAAAATGATGGTGATGTCTTGATTGCAAAGATTGTAAGATCTGTTATCCAATCCTGCAATGCATTTGTCATGCTAGTTGCTCATGTAGCCATGACTATGATCGACCTTGGTGAAGCACTAACACCATTAATTTGGTGTGGTTGTTGTCTCAAATAAAAGGGGCAACTTCTTTTGTTCTCAACAAAATAAATGAGCATAATGGACATTGAGAGGGGAAGAGATAAAAGAAAAAAAAGAAGGGGGGGGGGGGTGATTGAAAACTTATTCTGTGAATATTTTGGGAGAAGTCATTGTTTTATTGCATGCTCACAACAATATTCACATGGAACCTTAGCATTTATTATTATTCTTAACTTCATCAGTTTAGATATTGATCGTTTTCTTTTACTATTCGTGTACATTTTTTAATCTAGTCTCTTTCTTCTACTTTCAAGGATGCTACGGCGAATGATATTACAAATGAAGCCTTTGACGTCAAAGGTTATCCAACTGTGTACTTCAAGTCAGCAAGCGGAAATCTGTTGCAGTATGAGGGGGGCAGGACCAAGGAAGACATCATTGATTTTATTCAGAAGAATCGGGACAATACTGCCCAGCAAGAACCGAAGAAAGACGAGCTTTAATGAAGGTATCCAAATATCCATATTACATTTTAACTGTCTTGAAGGCAATGGTATTTTGGTGAATTGAGTAAGTACCCGATCTGAACAATGTTGTGTGTGTCTATTCTCTGTAGTTACCAATTTTCCTGTGCAACTTTGCTGTCTGCATACCTTTTCATAGCATATAGAGATGCAAAAAAATAAAAGAATTTAGTAGTGTGGAAGATGTTTTCAGAGTTTGGTAGAGTGTAAGCCGTGGCACAGTGATAAGAATTTGGTAGAGGGTGGACCTTAGCTTAAGGTGTCAAAAGCAGCTAGACTCGCGGAAATAGCCTCCCATATGCGGTGATTAGGCTTTTGAAGATCGGACCCTCCCCTCGACTCCTAGTGGGGGAAGTCTCGTACACTCGGCTAGCTATGGGTCCTGCTGGTTCTAGGGGACTAGTTAATAGATATTTATATCTGCCAGTTTTCCATGTACATTGTTGGTAGTTATTTGATTTCCCTCTTTTTCTGCAGGGAGGACCAGCGTGTATCCTTGAAGATGATGCAGATGTGACCACAAAAGGATTACCTATAGGCTTTTACTTTAAGCTTGTCCTCAATTTCCTTTCTGTTTTTAGTTTTACATAAAATTTTACTGCCGTAATAAAGTGGGAAGTCGTTTTGGAATATGTAGCTGCAATAAATTTCAGTTGTGGGGGTAGCTTAGTTCAAAATTTAACAATTTTGTGGCTATAAAATGTCTCCTAATGTATTAGTTTATAAAGCTTCTAGGAGAGGTGATATTCCAATCTCTCTCTCTCTCTCTCTCTCTCTCTCTCTCTCTCTCTGTGGGTGCGGGTACGTGTGTATGTAAATGGCCATTCACTTGATTAGGTACCGGTAAATTTGGTTATGGAATTTTACTGTGGCAGTCTTTTTGTTGTTAGCATTTAAGTAACAATGATGTTACCGAATTCTTTGACGATTTATTCATATCAGTTCATGAAGAAGAAAGAAGCATAAGTTACTCCGTTTGTGGTCCTATCTTTTCGGTTACGGTCTCGGGTGGATGCCCCCTTTCCGAGAATAAAGCGGATTGGACACTCACCCATGACCCAACCTTAGAATTAAGGTACTGAGCTAGTCACTTTAACCCTGGCAAGTGCAAATAACAGAACGAAGATAGATGTATGAAACTTTTGTTACTGTGGCATCTAGGAATGTCAGATATCAACAAATGTGGTTTCCGTAACATAATTGAAATTACTAATGGATATTGTACGAATCATTGAATGATTGTTGAGATTCAATGAAATTCAGCAATAGGTTGTAGTAGAGTGATAGAAACGTTGAGAATGTGTTTTCCATTTAATTGCTTATGGCAGACATACTGCGATAGATTTCTAGAAACTTCATATTCTGGAAGCTATTCTCATTCAAAACATGTCACCATAGTTTGCTAAGAATAAATTGATACAAAATTCGGTAAGAGATATTAACTTCCTTTCTCCTGTGTATATGTGTGCGACTCTGTGAGTTTATGTGAGAGAGAGAGAGGGGGCCGGGCCCAACTTTTAAATCAAGTGGTGGTTGGCGTAGTTTGAGTAGCTTGACAGGCCGAAGAAGAAATTTGCTACATAACAAGCCCACTAAGGTAACCTTGCATCCTTATGTATTAAATCACAAGTTATTATTTGTACCTGAAAGTACGGATTAATAAAAAAAATAGTTAACAATAAATATATTTATATTCACGCTCAAAATCAAATCATAAATATAGAAGAAAAAAAAACAAATTTAAGCATTGGGTATAGTGGTAGTGGTAGTGGTGAGTAGTAGTAGTGGTGAGAGACGGTGATGGTTACAGTGAATGACAATGAGCGTGGTGATGATGGTAGTGACAACCATAAGTGACGGCGATAGTTGTGGTGGTGGTGGGCGATGGTGATGGTGATTGGTAGTGGTGGGTGATGACAAGTGGTGGTGGTAGGTGTGATGGGAATGGGTGATAGTGGCTGGTGGTGATGGTGGACGACGATGGGTGATGGTGGGTGCTGATAAAAATAAAAGAATTTGGTAGTGTGGAAGAAATGTTTTCAGAGTTTAGTAGAGTGTAAGCCATGGCACATTGATAAGAATTCGGTAGAGGGTGGACCTTTAAGGTGTCAAGAGCTAGACTCGCGGAAATAGCCTCCCATATGCGGTGATTAGGCTTTGAACATCTGACCCTCCTCTCGACTCCTAGTGGGGGAAGTCTCGTACACTCGGCTAGCTATGGGTCCTGGCTGGTTCCTGGGGACCAGTTAATGGATATTTATATCTGCCAATTTTCCATGTACACATTGTTGGTAGTTTTTTGATTTCCTACTATTTCTGCAGGGAGGAACAGCTTGTGTCCTTGAAGATGATGCAGAAGTGACCACAAAAGGATTACCTTTAGCGGCTTTTACTTCAAGCTTGTCCTCAATTTCCTTTCTGTTTTTAGTTTTACACAAAATTTTACTGCCGTAATAAAGTGGGAAGTCCTTTTGGAATATGTAGCTGCAATAAATTTCTGTTGTGGGGGTAGCTCAGTTCAAAATGTAACAATTTCGTGGCTATAATGTCTCTTAATGTATTACTTTATAAAGCTTCTTGGAGAGGCGATATTCCATCTCTCTCTCTCTCTCTCTCTCTCTCTCTGCGGGTGCGGGTGCGCGTGCGCGTGCATGTAAATTTGTAAATGGCCATTCACTTGATTATATACTGATAAATTTAGTTATGGAATTTTATTGTGGTAGTCTTTTTGTTATTAGCATTTATGTAGCAATGATGTTACCGAATTCTTTGACGATTTATTCATATCAGTTCATGAAGAAGAAAGAAGCATAAGTTACTCCGTTCGTGGTCCTATCTTTTCGGTTACGGTCTCGGGTGGATGCCCCCCTTTCGAGAATAAGGCAGATTGGGCACTCACCCATGACCCAACCAACCTTAAATGGAATTAAGTTATTGAGCAAGTCACCTCAATTCTCGTTTCTGCAAGTGCAAAGAACAGAACGAAAATAAGAACGAAGATAAATGTACAAGACTTTTGTTACTGTGGCATCTAGGAATGTCAGATATCAAAAAATGTGGTTTCTATAACATAATTGAAATAACTAATGGATATTGTATGAATCATTGAATGATTGTTGAGATTCAATGAAATTCACCAATAGGTTGTAGCAGAGTGATAGAAATGTTGAGGATGTATTTTCCATTTAATTGCATATGGCAGACATACTGCGATAGATTTCTAGAAACTTCATATTCTGGAAGCTATTCTCATTCAAAAAATGTCACCATAGTTTGCTAAGAATAAATTGATACAAAATTCGGTAAGAGATATTGATTTCCTTTCTCCTGTGTATATGTGTCTGACTCTCTGAGTTTATGTGTGAGAGAGAGAGGACAGGGAGCCGGGGCCCAACTTTTAAATCAAGTGGTGGTTGGCGTAGTTTGAGTAGCTTGACAGGCCGAAGAAAGCAATGTGCTACACAACAAGCCCACTAAGGTAACCTTGGATCCTCATGTATAAAATTAGTAGTTATTGTTTGTGCCTAAAGGTAAAGAGTAATAAAAAAAAATGGCTAATAATAAATATATTTATATTCATGCTTAAAATCAAATCACAAATATAAAAGAAAGAGAAACGAATTTAAGCATTGGGTCTAGCGGGAGTGAGCAGTGGTAGTAGGAGACGGTGATGATTATAGTGGATGACAACGATCGTGGTGATGGTGGTAGTGACAACTATAGGTGACGGTGATGGTGGTGGTGGTGATGTGGGTAGATAGTGGGTGGTGGTAGTGGTAGTGGTAGGCGATGACAAGTGGTGGTGGTGGTAGGTGTGATGGGGGTGGGTAACAGTGGCTGGCCGTAATGGTGGGTGACGACGGGTGGTGGTGGTGGGTGCTGACGATGGCAATGGGATAATGGTGGTAGTCTAATAAATATAAAAATTGGATGACGATAGTGGTGGGTGGTGGCAGTGGATGACGGTGGTAACAACCGATGAAGGGTGGCGGCGACAAAGGTGATTTTTGTGGTAAAGGTGGTGGTGGGGCAGTGGGGGTGGGGGTGGTAGGGTGGCGACAACGATGGTGGTGGTGGTGGTAGTGGTTGTGATGGAGAGGTTCAAAACACTACTTTTTTTTTTTTTTTAAAGTACTTATGAGAATTTATAAGTTTTAAAAGTACTTTTAAAAAATCATCTCAAACACACTCTTAGGAGCCTATTTTTCCTATTAAATTTGGGGTGTTAATATTAACTGTCAGATTAACTTTAAATTAAAAATTTAAAAAGACATCAACTGTGAAAAGTAAAAGTCATTTTGTTTATCTTTTGATATATGAATTATATTGTATTTTATTATATATATATATACTTTTTTTGTGATATAATTAGGGGTTAGGCCTCTTTAAGGAACTTGTAATGAGTTAACTCTATCACTTAAACATATGTGGTGTTAAACCCTATTATTATCTTTTTAGTAAGTAGTTTTAAGTCAAATTTTTTTTAATAAGTCGAAAATGTCTTTCCAAATACATTGAAAGCAGTCTTCAACGTTAAATCAATTTTCTAACTGGAAAACAGTTACCCCTTAATTCACGTTTAGTGAAGATCTGCTCATAAGATTTTTTTCATAAATTTTAAAATTCAAATTCATGAGTATATATTATCCACATTATTTTTCTATTAATGCTTTGTGTCTTCCTTTTTTCATAGATCACAGTCGGGACCATGATTTTTTGACAGATTTTTTGAGTTTGATTTTGCTGGTGTTCTTGAGTGTGATTGCTTGAGCTTAAGGCACCATTTTATTCATCACTATTGATGTTGTTGATGTTCACCCATATCGTCGTCAACCATTGTGGTTGTCTCCATTGTCATTAGCTTCATATAATCAACCCATCTTCTGTCGAAATACTACCAAAAAAATTAGATTTGTTATCCCTTTATAAGCCCACAAAACCCAACTCAAAAACCTCATCATAGTCATCTACGAACCAGA